AGCAAATGTCAAATTAGTCTTGGTAGAGCACTGGAGATATTCTGGGAAAAGGAAGTGAGGCAAAGGCTAGCAGACTCCAGATTCACATTTCATTTTACCAGGTAAATAGATTCTGACGCTCAAATTTCTCATGGTCTTAAGTTTCAGACCATTGTCTTAGAATTTAAAATTTTGTAAGAATTTTGGAAAACTCTTAAATTCAATATTAATTAGGAAGGTGGCTTTCCACATTTCTTTTTAAAAAAACTGAAAAACAGGCAACCGTATTAAAACTGAATTTAAGAATTTCCAAAGTCATACATTTTAAGACAATGTTATTAAATTTGGACCAATGGGAAATTCAGCCCTCAGGATTTGCACAGATTAGTCTATGTTGATTGACTGAAATACTGAAGACTTATTTTAAAATGTTATGGAGACTTAGTTTTTGATATCAGTCATGTAACTGAGGAAGGTGTCAAGGAACAGGCAAAGTGCGTTTCTCACAGACAGTACAGGAAATTAAGAGAGAAAGAGCGAGAAACCTGGGATGGTCTGGCATATCCCCTAGAGGCTGAATCAGGCATTGGCAGCCAGTTCTGAACTCACATGGGGATGATAGAGTGGAGGAGGGAGGAGACACAAAGTGGTGAAAAATATTAGCTTAAAACACTTAAATACTTTCAACTGTTTCAGAGTGGTACACTGAACCCAGCTTCACATAATCAATGATTACGTATTTTGTAGGCGAACTTGGCAGCTACAACAACAACAGCAAAATTACAATTATATAGCGTCTTTCACTTCGGGAGGACGTCCCAAGGCACTGGATAGTCAGTGTTTCTTACCCGAGCTGAGGGTTGGGGTCAGGGAGGGTGGAGGGCTGGGTGGGAAGCAGGGTGATCGAAACCACGGTTGAAGAGGAGGATCTTGGCATGAGTCTTGAAGGAGGCAAGGGAGTGGGTGAGGCAGAGGGTCCGTGGGATGGAGTTCCAGAGAGTAGGGGCAGAGTGTCAGAAGGCCGGCCCGCCAATGGTGGGGTGGGCGAGGCGGGGGACATGAAGCAGGCAGAAGCCCACTGAGCGGAGGCAGCAGACAGGATGGTAATGGGTTAGGACGCAGAAGTAGAGGGAGCATGGCCATGGAGGGCTTTAAGGTGAGGACCAGGATCTTGAACTGTATTCTCTGTCTGATGGGAAGCCAGTGGAGTCGAGCGAGAATGGGAGTAATACTGTCACAGTGCCTGGTGCGGGAGAGGACACGGGCTGCAGACCTCTGGATGATCTGCAGCCTATGGAGGGAGGAGTTGGGGAGGACGACAAGCAGGGAGTTTGCATAGTCGAGCCTCAATGTTATGAATGCGTGTATGAGGGTTTTGGTATGAGACAGTGACGGAGCTGGGAGATGTGCAGAGTGGAAGTAGGCAGAGCAGGTCATCGCACAGATGTGGGGTAGAAAGGATAGTTGAGGGTCCAACAAGACACCAAGATTCCGGACTGGTTTAGTACGGTGGATTGTGCATCCATGGATGGTGATGCTGTCAGTGCCTGACATGTGGGGGCTAGAGGAGAAACCGTTTGTGAAGGTGAAGTGGAGGTGGTGTGAGAGATATGATCTGAACCATTCAAGGACAGAACTTTGAAAGTTGAGGTGAGAGGAGAGGCAGTGGATGAGGATAGTGTGGTCAACGGTGCCGAAGGCAGCAGAGAGATCAAGGAGGACAAGGAGGCAGAGGGAGTCCTGGTCTCAGTTGGACAGAATTTTATTTGTCACTTTGACCAGGGCTGTTTCTGTGCTGTGGGCGGCACAGAAACCTGATTGTAGGGGTTCGTGAAGGGAGTGGCGGGAGAGGAAGCAGCGAAGCTGAGAAGCAATGACTCGTTCCAGGACCTTGGAGAGGAAAAGGAGGTTGGAGATGGGGTAGTACTTTGAAAGCAGGAATGGGTCCAGGGAGGGTTTTTTTTAAAGGTAAGAGTGATGATGGCTACTTTTAAAGGGGGTGGGAACGGTTCTAGTGGACAGGTAGAGGTTTATGATGTCTGTGAGTGGAGGGGCAAGGAGGTGGAGCTGGGAGATAAGGAGAGGAGTAGGGATAGAGCTAATATCTCAACCTTAATACAGCACTTGGATTGTTTCTGGTGACAATTTAACTTATAGCTGTAAGAGATAAAGTATTACTTTCATCTCAACTGCCTAAAGATTAACTATAATAATAATCTTTGCATTTGATACAATACCTTTCACATCGGAAGGATGTCTCAAAACTTATAATATATAGCGCCTTAAATGTCTTTGAGATGTCTCAAAATGCTTCACAGAATATATTGTAAAGTGAATTGACTGTATATTTTGTGAACAAAACACTTCACAGGATATACTATAAAGTGCAATGACTGTGTATTTTGTATGCAAACAGGGAAGCTGATATTCCTTAAGCAGCCATGAAGGGAATTTATTTTGGGGAATTTATTTTGGCCAGAAAACCAGGAGAAACTCCCTTCCCTTTTTGAATAATGCCATGGGATCTTCAACATCCACTTGAACATGTTGTCAACAGTTTTAAGTGCTCCGAGATGCCGTCTGGAGTGAAGGACACTATATAAATGTAAGTGGTTGTTGTCAGGATCTCGGTTTAACATTGAGTCAGAAGGATGATACCTCCAACAATGCAGTACATCCCCAGCACTGCTTTGGAGTGTCATTCTGCACGATACAAATCCGATGTGGGGCTTCAACTGAAAACGAGAGGCGAGAGTGCAACCAACTGAGCCTAGCTGACACTACATTTCTAATGGAATTGATCGATCATTTCTTTCACTAAGCCATCTCATAAATTCAAGTGTAAGAAAAAGACTGAAAGTTCTTTAAAATTAAGACTGTTAGAGGAACAAAACAAATATGCATAGTCCAAAGAAAGAGATGTACTTGAATACATTGTTTGCATCTACTATTTTTTTTAAAAAAATGAAATATAACGATGCTGATGTTAAAAAGAATAAAAACTGAAAAAAAACATTTTGGTCAGTAGGGGTCGCCATTAAACTTTTTTTTGTAAATGTTTATTTACATCTCACATATATGGATACAAGTGTAAAGCAGCCAATATTACAAGACCTCAACAAACAGAAAATAAGTAGCTAATCTTCACTGTAAACTTACTGGATGAAAGTGAAAATGAATGTTGGTAAAATTCACTTTCAATTGCTTTTGGTTACTTTTTAGCAGCAGTTGATTTTTGTTTCCTTTTTTTAACCTGATCCTATTGCCAAGAGTAATTTAGCAATCACATTTTAGTGCTTTTGCTTTCTATAGACTTGGTAACTTCTTCCCATCTGCGTGAAGCATAAGTTTCTGAACCAAATGCAGAGGCTATCGATGAGGATTGAGAAAAATCTCGGAGTCTCCATACGATCTGTATTTGTAATTGAATAATAATCCTTGCATTTACACTTTTTTAATAAGAGAAATAAGTCAGCTGTCTACTGTATTCAACTTCAAAGGGGGACAAACAGGTGAAGGGATGTAAATGATAATGGCTTCACTGGCTTCCATCACTCAGAGGATGCAGTTCAAGATCCTGATCCTCACCTTCAAAGCCCTCCACGGCCTTGCTTCTCCCTAACTCTGTGACCTCCTAACCCCCTACCGAGCTGTCCGCTCCCTCTGCTCAGCGGGCTCCAGCCTACTTCACATTCCCCACCTTGCCAGCCCCACCTTTGGCGTACAGGCCTTCAGCCTCTCTGCTCCCAGCCTCTCTGCTCTCACCCTCTGGAACTGCATCCCTCCACCTTGCTCCCTCCCTTGCCTCCTTCAAGACTCGGCCTAAGACCCTCCTCTTCGACCGTGCCTTCAGTCACCCTCTTACCACTACGCTCCCCCCTCGAAAATTGGCTGTCGTGTTTACCCACAAAGCGAACCGATGTATGTGTCACCTTATGACCTGGAAGTCAGTCAGTTATGCAGTTGAAAAGATTGCAAAATTGAAAAACTCCTTATAAATCATTTATGTATCCCATTCATGTATTTTCATGCACACTAAAATAAACACAGGACTCTGTCTACAGAAAAATATAAACTTAATTATACATAACATAATAATCCTAGCATTTGACCATCACATCAAAGAGCCAGTTGGCACATAACAAAGTTCCAAAAAAAGTTATAAGTGAATGGTCAATTTATTTGGGGCATTGTTGACCGAGACACCAGGTGAACCCCTCCACCCTTTTCTTTTCAAATACTGTCATTGGATCTTTAATATTCACCTGAATAGATAAACAATACCTCAGTTTACTGATTCATTTAAAAGGCATAATCTCTACTGATGTAATGTTTCCCACTCAACAGGTCTGGAATATCAGCATGGACTAAGAGCTGACGTCCCAAATGTGGGGCTTAAACCCACAACCCAATGATCCAGACATAAGAGTGCTGCCATTGAATCATACTGACACTATTATGGATTCACTATGATATTTTATCTAATAAAATGATATATTGCTTCCACGTATTCTATAAATGGAATCTTGTTGTTGTTGTTGTATTGCATAAATCAGGCTTATATTTTCAGAGTGAATACCAAATACTTGGTATTTTCCCCTCTCCCTAGTCTACAGCATTGAGGCATCCCAGCTGCCGTGGGATGTACCCAGACCCTCAACTTATCACAGACCAGCAATAGTTCAACAACTGACATTTGATTGGCATAAACCAAAAATCAGTTTAAAATTAATTTTAGTTTATTCTTAATGCTACTTTTTACAAATATACACAGATACAATTGGAATGTGTGATGATTTATACAGTGTAGCGTTACAGAGATATGTAGAGACAGATTCTTATGCTGCTTAGGAGAAATAAGCTCCACCTGAACAATTGCCACTTTAGGAGTGACCTCAGAAGTCAAATCTTTGGAATTATCTGCATTCTTTCCGAAACATTAAAGGGAAATAGATTCTCAAGTCCAGAAATGCTTCAGCTTGAGATAGTGCCCAGAATACCTCTCTATAAGAGGGTGAATGACAACTTCAAATGACAAAACCTTGGCAAAGAACTAACAACAGCTGCCTCAACTGGAGGCTGATCCAAGACATTGCAAAAACAAAAAGGAACACTCTACAAGGGGAAGCTTTTATATTTGTACCATTCAATAATATGGAAGAAGGAATTGTGAGGCATTGGATTAATACTCCTGTCCGTTACCAACACAAGATAGTAGAACAGGATCTGGTGCAATGCAAACTGGATCACTCATTGTTTGCACTGCCAGGCCCAGCGCAGCGACACAGGGAAAAGGACAAACTTTCGTCTGAGGATTCAGCTGAACTGGCAGAGCCCAACAAGGAGGAAATACCGTTTGAAATCATGCTGGATGTGGTGCAGTTCCGCCCCGAAGACATCATGATTCAGGTCTTTGAAGGATGGCTTCTCATTAGAGCTCAGCATAGACGAAGGATGGATGAGCATGGCTTTATTTCAAGGAGCTTTACAAGACAATATAAACTATCGGATGGTTTGGAGGCAAAGGATCTTTCTGCTGTGTTCTGTCATGATGGCATTCTGGTGGTGAAGATAAAGGCTTAACTGAAAGAACTTCTGAAAGAAATACTGATATTGCATGAAAATAGCTCTCCTGTGTGAATTTCTGCAGATGCTTAGCACAAATTATTGAATTTAGTGAATACAGTAATACTGGAAACAGATAGTGTTATCAGTTCTGGTGAAAATATATAGCTTCATTCAATTATGTAAAAGGATTGTGATTGCGTTAAGTGCAGTGAGTGTAAAGTATAAAGAAAAGGTATGTAAAGAATACTGAACAAATCTAGATTTTCCATGCAATTTAAGGCTGTGTTAAGGCTTTGTGTTTTTGTAAGCTCTGTTGAAAAGAAGGAGCCATGTCCCAATCTCCTTTCATTTTTCTTGTAACTATGAGGTAGAAAGGTTATTTGTACAGTTCTGAACATACAGTTGCATTGATTAGGTTAAAATATATTTTGACGAATAAGAGTGCACTTTGGAATAATTAGTAAGAAATTGCATTTATTGTTAACGGGCTTGCAATAGGTTCAATGCATGTTTATTTTCTAGGGAAAGGCCTGTCACATTACTCCTGTTCTATGTATAGCACAAGAATGTGATATGCTATTAAATGCCTGGTTAAAAACAGAACCTGAGACTATTGGTGTGTCCGGAATGTGAATGTCTCTTCCAACCTTTTTCTTGCTGCATTGTATCACTTTAGATATAGAGTCACATTAATCAATAAAAATAGCAATATTTTCATCCCCAGTTTGTATTGGGATTGCCTATTATAATCAAGTAACAAAAGACCTGCTTTGTTTAGTAATCGGTGTGTGATAGACAACATTGAGTAATCAGCCAAGTAAATTCTCGAGAAACAGCATTCAACTTGTAATGGGCATTTTTATTGTGCGCTTGCCTATTATATTATTATTATATTGTGTCACCTGATACCTCACATTTACTGATCGACAAAAAGTGAGCGCCACACTGTTCATGAAGCAAACAATGTTTTTTTAAAAGGAGAAGTCAACTGTAGAGGAACACACTGTTGCATTGGTTGGGTTAAAGTATGTTGTGAAAAACATGAGTGCATTTTGAAAATACTTTGGCTCTGTGTACTTGCATTTCTGCACGTCCCATAGTGTATAATCTTTACCTCCAGCTATCCTCTCAACTGGGGAGTGTTGGCTTAATTAAGAGCAAACACCAGACAACTAATTAGTTTGGAGCTGTATAAATTGTGGAAAACTGAATGATATTCTCTTCAATGGATTCATTTGATCCTTTCTATGAAATGCTGCTCAATCAGGTTGTAGAAGCACAAAAAGTATGGGTTGTTTAGACAAAATAAAAGTATTTTAAAAAATGCTGTTTTGCTTAAATAATAACAATCCTTTATTTAATAAAGTGCCTTTCAGATTGTAAATAAAAGCACTTTGAGATGGTTCAACTTTATAAGCACTATATCAAATACAACGATTATTATATTATAAAGCAACAAATTGGCTGAGTCCCAATCCTGATACAAATACATATGCAGTACATGAACTTTAAATAATAATAATAATTTGAAGCTAGCACAAGATGGCGCCCTTAGCAACATTTTCAAAGGAATGAGACGCAGTTCTGATTTTTGGCAATCCCCCTCCTTTCAGAAGTTACCGTCATCAAAATGGACATTGAGTATCAGAAGGTCAAAGGCGTTGTATCAAATAAAGGATTGTTATTACTTATTTTTGCAAAACAGCATTTTTTAAAAATGCCTTTATTTAGCCAAACTTACTTTGTGTAATGGGATAAGACTGAATAGCAAGGTTTCCTATTCCTAAACCAAAAGGCTTCCTTGATTTTATAATCTAATGATTACTTGATAGATATATTTGTATAATTATGTTGTCACTCTGTGTATTACAGTCTATGTAATCTATGCAGTCTATGTACGTCTATGCAATCAGAAAATCTGTATGAGTAGAAACACTATTAAAGAAATATGTGAAAAACAGATTCTAGTAATTTCTCAGATCAATATAATAATATATAATAATAATCCCTGCTTTTGATATAGCGCTTTTCACGTCTACTCGATGTCTCAAAGCGCTTCACAGAATAGACTGTATTTTTGTGGGCGAAACGCAGCAGCCAATTGCATACAGCGGAGTCCCACAAACAGTCGTGGATTGAAATGACCAATTTTTTTTTGAGGGATTATTATAATAATAATAATAATCCTTGCATTTGATATAGCACTTTTCACGTCGGGGGGACATCCCAAAGCGCTTCACAGAACACACTGTAAAGTGAATTGACTGTATATTTGTGGGCGAACGCGGCAGCCAATTGCGCACAGCAATGTCCCACAAACAGTCGTAGATTGAAAATGACCAATTTTATTATTGTTTTTGGAGGGATTATTATTAGGCGTGTGGAGTAAAGAAACTTGCCCAAGGTTTCGCTCTGCCTGGAATTGAACTCAGGTCTCTCGCTTGCAAAGCGAGTGCTCTAACCACTGAGCTACAGGACTCAGTTATTAGGCGTGTGGAGTTAGGAAACTTGCACAAGGTTTCGCCCTACCGGGAATCGAACCTAGGTCTCTCTCAATAAGCCTTTGCTTAAAAGGTATTAGCAGGTCAGCTTCTCAGTCCCTTCACACTGTGTCACAATGCAATATGTTGTTTTATACATACTCCTATGGCAAAATTCTGCTGCAAGAGAAATGCACACTCTAATCCATGTCATAATACGGTGTAAGCCGAGTGTGTGCGGAGGAGGTATCTGAGGAGTGCCACTCCCGACTTAAATTGACAACAGTTTTACTCACTGGAACATTCATCGACAGTTTGTCATAACATGATGGTGTTGCACTGAGAATGAGTAAGGCAAGATTAAACACAGAACTCACCAAGACACAATATTGTCAATATAGATAATTCAAAATTCAAAAAATCTCCCCAAATTTTAACCAATCTACAATTTGAACATCATTAATAATAATAATAATAATAATCCTTGCATTTGATACAGCGCTTTTCACGTCGGGAGGACGTCCCAAAGCACTTCATAGAACACACTGTAAAGTGAATTGACTGTATATTTGTGGGCGAACGCAGCAGCCAATTGCGCACAGCAATGTCCCACAAACAGTCGTAGATTGAAAATGACCAATTTAATTATTGTTTTGTTTTGGAGGGATTATTATTAGGCGTGTGGAGTAAGGAAACTTGCCCAAGGTTTCGCCCTCTGCCTGGAATTGAACTCAGGTTTCTCACTTGCAAAGCGAGTGCTCTAACCACTGAGCTACAGGACTCCACAAACTCCACAAACAATCATTACTGTGACTCCCCAAACCTTTTTATTTTGTTTTGCTAATGTTAACTAAATAGAAATATAGGATTAAATTTGAAGTAATTTCTTAACCAATTTCGTGTGCTGATTAACACAAGAATGGGGAACAAACAAACCTGCACATTTCTTCCTATTATGTAATTAGCACCACAATTTCTTAATGAATAATAACTGTACCCAGCCTTCCATTCCCTTACAGGCATTCCACCACATTAGCTGTCTGATCAAAAAACACAGGAAACTGCTTTAATATAATTAATTTCCTCATAATAATTTTTGATTTGATATAACAGCTTATTGAAATGTCTCAAATTGCTTCACAGTTAATAGTTAGGTGAATTGACAAAGTATTTATAGGTGAATGCAACAGCCACAGAAATTTGAACACAGCAATGTCTCACAGACAGTCACAAAGTGAATAATTATTTTTATCTGGGTGAATGTTGTCCAGGCATCGGAAAAATTCCCTTCTCTTTTCAAATAGTGCCATTGATGCCTTGACTTCCACATTAACAGAAAGATGGGATTACAGTTTGACGAATGATCTGAAGGACAGCACCCCTGACAATGCAACATTGCCCAACTTCGATTATGGTCTCAAAGTCCCACATGGGACTTGAACCCACAACTCTCTAAGCCTGCGGCAAGAGTGCTATCAAATGAGCCAAGGTTGGCCATTAGAATGCAATTGGAACTCCATCTAAGGACTTTTAACATGGATGAAGAAATTCTCACTGAAGAATTGCAGGGTGATTCTCTGGTTATCAGTAAATCTACCAACGTCTGACCTGACACAATTCTGTTTGTGATGATGTTGTATAAATCATACGCTAAAAATATGTGATCTTCAGATTACCTCTTGATGGTGGGATGTGGGCTCCAGGAGCATGTGCAGGAAGCTCGGAGAAATGGTGGCGATTGTAACTCAGGAATAATTAAAGAATGCTTTAAACACTGGGCAGAAATTGCAATTAATGGAATTGAAACACCCCCAACATCTGGAGAATAGTTCCCTCCGCAAGCTTTCCATCTTTTTTTTAAAACGTAGTGTTACTAATTGTTTTATAATTGTCTAGCCATTTGGCATATGGTGCCCAACGCGATGGTCCACAGCAACCTCATGCTGAAGTCAGCTCCACACCACTGGTGGTCATCCGGTTTTCCACCTCAGTAATCATTGTTCATGGGCAGCAGTTAGAGTCAGGTCACTTGACTGTAGAGGGCATCACAGCCAAGCCTACCTTCTCCTGACTCAGCTGCTGAATGCACACTATCAGTAGAGGGTGATAATAATAATCCTTGCATTTGATATAGCGCGTAATCAGTTCTTTGAGATGTCTCAAAGTGCTTCACAAAATATACTGTAAAATGAATTTACTGTATATTTGATGAAGAGGGAATATGAGGAGGAAATCCATCTAATTTTAACCTTCCTAACACGGAGAAGGCCAATGACAGTATAACCTCCAGGAGCAACCCCGGCTAAAAGCAGCAAACTCAGCAGGGAACAAAACCCAAACAAGTGAGCTTCTGGTCTATACTGTAATTGCAGTTGTATCCACTACAGTGCACTATCAGGCTGCACGGGCCAGATTTTTTACACTTAGCAGGTAGTCCAAGGAATGCAGTCTCGGCAACTGGAACTTTTAGTTTTTCATTTTACAATGATTTTTAAGACTCTCGATCTTAAAATTGCTGGAATTAAAGTTAGACACATTTGTCACTCACTTTTGAAAGCTAAAAGGTTGGCCTAATTGCAGACAGTGAAGTATTTGGGCCCCTCACCAACATTTTTTTAAAAAAGTCTCTTTTTAGAAGAACCCAAATCCACCAAAACACATTGTTTTGCTTTCAGGTGACAGAATGGGGTTACCATCATTGCCAGCCGGCAGTCTAAACCAGGCATGGAATTCCTTATCCTTTTTCTGTGGCTTATTTCCACTGGAATAGTTGGAATCGGTAGAAAATAATTTCCCTTTAATTCCAACCTCCCAAAATTCTATGATTTATTTGGCTTTTCTCAGTTTCTGGGGTCTGCACACAGAGTCTCACTGATTGACACACAAATCATATGCTCCCAGATGATTTCTGAACTCTGTGACAGTATAACGACTGTAATAACGGCAACTTGTATTTATACGTCGCAATTCATGTGGGGCACTTTATAGGGATGGTGTTGGATGTCAAGCAATGAGCAACTCAATCTGTCTTCAGACCAATACAGAATTGCTTACATTTGTTAGCATGATCTGAGAGTGGAGGAACTGTTTGGAGTTGCATTAAGAAAAACTTTGCCATTTTTAAACAAAATGTTCCCCTCTGCCTCTTGCGATTCACTAGTGATGCAGAGAACGTTAATTTGTAGCCAATGGTACATTTCCTGTTGGTGAACAATTGAAGAGACGTTGCTCTCTGGTAGTCAG